GGTCATTGACTCCCAATCGGAGGTAACGAGTGTCAGCTGTCGGCTCGTTATCTCTGATTGGGAGCCATATTTATACTGCATGTTTTCCTGTGGGCATTGTGGGTTATTGTTCCTGTTTAGTCTTTGTCACTATTGGACTTCACAGTCGTCGCTTTGATTTGTTGTTTTGTCGTGCTTTAACTTAATAAAGTACCATGTTCGTTTCACACGCTGCGCCTTGGTCTCCTTCACTCCTCGACGACCGTGACAGGGACTCCCAATCACGGCCGGTTGTGATACAGCCTGGAATCGAACCAGGGGGTCTGTAGTGACGCCTCAAGCACTGAGCACTGAGATGCAGTGCCTTAGACCGCTGCGCTAATTGATCATTAGAAAACCCTTTTGCAATTATGTTAGCACATCTGAAAACTGTTGTGCTGATTAAAGAAGCAATAAAACTGGCCTTCTTGAGACTAGTTGAGTATCTGGAGCGTCAGCAATTGTGGGTTCGATTACCAGCTCAAAATGTCCAGAAACAAATAACTTTCTTCTGAAACTCGTCAGTCTATTCTTGTTCTGAGAAATGAAGGCTATTCCATGCGAGAAATTGCCAAGAAACTGAAGATCTCGTACAACGCTGTGTACTACTCCCTTCATAGAACAACGCAAACGGGCTTTAACCAGAATAGAAAGAGGAGTGGGAGGCCCCGGTGCACAACTGAGCAAGAGGACAAATACATTAGAGTGTCTAGTTTGAGAAACAGACGCCTCACAGGTCCTCAACTGGCAGCTTCATTAAATAGTACCCGCAAAACACCAGTCTCAACGTCAACAGTGAAGAGGCGACTCCGGGATGCTGACCTTCTAGGCAAAGTTGCAAAGAAAAAGCCATATCTCAGACTGCCCATCTTAATCTTTTATTTTTATTGGCCAGTCTGAAATATGGCTTTTTCTTTGCAACTTTGCCTAGAAGGTCAGCATCCCGGAGTCGCCTTTTCTAAGTGACCCCAAACTTTTGAACGGTAGTGTATATATATAATTACAATTTTTTTGTTCAAATGCGTAATTGCAGTAGAAATGTAGGCCTATTGTAGTAGAAGTTATGCTTTAAGAAGGGCCTATGCCTATCACTATTGATATTCAAGAGACATTAGTTGTGCTGGCATAGTGGCTGTGGTAGTGTGTGAAAAGTTCATCTCAAGATTCATAATTTCACTACAAATTGATAACCTATCATGTTAGCTTCACCACTAACATCCACAAAACGGTAGTCTATACCAGGGTTTCCCAAACTCGGTCTATACTGCCTAGGATGTTTGGACTTCAATTGGATTCACAACTGAAGACTAATAATATTGACTGTGGTGGTCTACATCTGTGCTCACTGGCCATATGTTCTGGGATTCATTAGACTGTCCTCAGTGTAGTTTTACAGATTTGTGTCTATAACTTTTTTAAAGGGAGTTGCCCAAAACAGCAGACAGCACTAAGTCTCTGTAGGTCTCAATCCATTATCTTTAAGACCTTTCACAACTCTGCCCCAAATCTATTAGGCAACTGCATCTGTAGTGATCGAGGCCCAAAGGATCTGCTGATGATTGGTATACCTTTTACTGGTAACTTAATTAGATCTATGAGATTAGTCAAGTTTTTAATTGTGAAACACAGAAGCAAAACAGATAATGATGCTAAATTCTGCAGCAGAAGCACCATAGTTTGGGGGTAGTTTGTGGGCCTGTCTAGAAAACCCACCAATAGGTAAACAGATTGAACACAGGTGTACCAGTATACCATTTATCCCATCCTTACATACTCTAAGGAATGCAACTAATAATCATTTTACTAGACATACCGGTATGGTCAGATATATGGAACAGACTCAATTGCATACGACTAATATACAGACTCTCTGTATGTGGACACCCCTTTAAATTAGTGGATTCGGCTATTTCAGCCACATCCGTTGCTGACAGGTGTGTAAAATCGAGCACACAGCCATGCAATCTCCATAGACAAACAATGGCAGTAGAATGGCCTTCCTGAAGAGCTCAGTGACTTTCAACGTGGCACCATCATAGGATACCACGGTCAACTGTAAGTGCTGTTATTCTGAAGTGGAAACATCTAGGAGCAACAACGGCTCAGCCGCGAAGTGGTAAGCCACACAAGCTCACAGAACGGGATCGCCGAGTGCTGAAGCGCGTAAAGTGCGTAAAAATCATCTGTCTTCAGTTGCAACACTCACTACCGAGTTCCAAACTGCATCTGGAAGCAACATCAGCACAACAACTGTTTGCGGGAGCTTCATGAAATGGGTTTGGCGGCAAATCTGGGTTTGGCGGATGCCAGGAGAACGCTACCTGCCCGAATGCATAATGCCAACTGTAAAGTTTGGTGGAGGAGGAATAATGGTCTGGGGCTGTTTTTCATGGTTCGGGCTAGGCCCCTTAGTTCCAGTGAAGGGAAATCTTAACGCTACAGCATACAAAGACATTCTAGACGATTCTGTGTTTCCAACTTTGTGGCAACAGTTTGGGGAAGGCCCTTTCCTGTTTCAGCATGACAATGCCCCCGTACACAAAGCGAGGTCCATACAGAAATGGCTTGTCGAGATTGGTGTGGAAGAAATTGACTGGCCTGCACAGGGCTCACAGAAATGGTTTGTCAAGATCGGTGTGGAAGAACTTGACTGGTCTGCACAGGGCTCACAGAAATGGTTTGTCGAGTTCAGTATGGAAGAACTTGACTGGCCTGCACAGAGCCCTGACCTCAACCCCATCGATCACCTTTGGGATGAATTGGAACGCAGACTGCGAGCTAGGCCCAACATCAGTGCCCGACCTCACTAATGCTCTTGTGGCTGAATGGAAGCAAGTCCCCGCAGCAATTTGCCAACATCTAGTGTACTCCTGAGTGGCGCAGTGGTCTAAGGCACTGCATCGCAGTGCTAACTGTGCCACTAGAGATCCTGGTTCGAATCCAGGCTCTGTCGCCGCCGGCCGCGACCGGGAGACTCATGGGCGGCGCACAAGTCGTCCAGGGTAGGGGAGGGAATGGCCGGCAGGGATGTAGCTCAGTTGATAGAGCATGGCGTTTGCAACGCCAGGGTTGTGGGTTCGATTCCCACGGGGGGCCAGTATAAAAAAAATATGTATTCACTAACTGTAAGTCGCTCTGGATAATAGCGTCTGCTAAATGACTAAAATGTAAAATTGTAGTGGAAAGCCTTCCCAGAAGAGTGGAGGCTGTTATAACAGCAAAGGGGGGACCAACTCCATATTAATGCCCATGATTTTGGAATGAGATGTTCGACGAGCCGGTGTACACACACTTTTGGTCATGTAGTGTATAACAAGTACTCTTGTACCTGACAACAGGGCCGGATTACCGAACGGGCACGCAGGGCACGTGCCCCCGATAGCAAAATGTGTAGAATTGCAGGAAATTAGCTTGAAAACAAAAAATATATATTCTCAGCCTCATAGCAAAATGTGTAGAATAGCAAGAAATTAGCTTTAAAACTGCAAAATGTTCTCTCAGCCTCATGGCAAAACAAAAGCATGAGATGAGATATAAAACAACATATTTATTTATCTGCCCCATGGCAAAATAAAGTGTAGAATTGCAGGAAATTTGCTTTCAAACTGCAACAAGGGGGGAGAAATGGTGGGGCGGTTGGGAGAAATGGGGGTGGGTTGCATCCTCCTGTCAGTAGCCTAACTAATGACCAATGTCGGTGGGTCAGAGAACTGGGTAGGACGGAAGATGGCGGAAACTGAGGTTTGTTTGAAACTGCTAGTGAGTCGAGTGAAGCTAATAGTACAGAAAGTGAGAATGAGTGGATTACAGTGGCGAAGAAAAAGGGAAACGAGAAGTAAAGCTATGTTGAAAAATAGGTCTGAGTCAGGGTTTTGGATCAATGCTACTTGGGAAATCCGTTTAATGTCTCCAGGAAAATCTGGAATGTGTTGGAGGAAAGTGTGGAGTCGGTGAGATTCACAAGAAGTGGTCTTATTTTGATTTTTTGTGTGTCTGCGGAACAGAAGAAGCTTGTTTTAAGACTCAAAAAGATAACGGAGTGGAATGTTTCCTGCATGGATTTTTGTAGCGAGGCGCCTATCAAGAGGGTTATTTCTGGGGTGGCGCAATAAATAAAGGCATAGGATATACCTGAAGACATCGATGGAGTGGTTGGTGCACGTCGACTGACCTGTATGGTGGAAGGAGAAAGTAAATTCACTTCATCCATGCTACTGTTCATTGATGAAGAGTCTCTCCCTTCTCATATAAAGTTAGGATTCACGAGATACCCTGTAAGAGCTTTTGTGCACAAGCCAATTCAGTGTCATAAATTTAGAAGATTTGATCATGTGTCAAGTGAATGCAGAAGGAAAGAATATCGAATGCCAGATAAAGGGAAGTGCTGCAACTGTGGAGGTGCGCCTGAATTCTTGGAGTTCCCTGTTAGGGTGAAGGAGAATGAGGTGGCAAGGGTAAGGAGTGTCCAGCGTGTCTCCTATCTGGAGGCGGTAAGAAGATTGGAAGGAACGAGTGGCGGGGAATAAGCAATGTTAGTAGAGCCACCATGACCAGTGAAGGTTTCTCATCAACCGAGGGATAATGAAATGCTACATGTTAAAAAGGTGGACTTTGTATTATTTATTGCAATGGTCATAAACTGTACAGCACAAGCAGAGAAGAAGTCTAAGAAAATGTGAATGCTGCTGAACGTTTTTTGGGTCTTCGTGATTTCACAGCCGAGGCCGTGCAAGAAATCCTGTACGTGAATGTACCCCCATCAGATGTCCCCTGAGCTTGTTTAGGGATGTATTTTGGAGTGGACTGTGATTTAATAAGTGTGATGGGTTTTATTTTGTATGACGTCGTTATCCCCCTTTCCGGAAATGTTTTTGTTGTTGTTTCTTATTCAATACCCCGTCCAGCTGGTGGCGGTAATGGATCATTAACATTGGATGCAAACCGCCGTTAAACCCCATCGAAAAAGAAGACCAACGTCGGTCCTGGTCCTGGGCCCTTTGTCATTACTGCCCAGAGTTTTTTTCTTTTTCTGGTCAGCTCACGTGGCCAGGAAAACTCTTGGTATTTTCTGTTTTTCAGTAGGCTAACTAGCTAGATCACACAAATCTAAATTTTGCCAAGTTTTCATCCAGCGCAGGGATTGGCAGGAACCGGAACTGGAAGGCTGGCTAGCTAATCTTTCAGTCGATGTCATTCAAATACACTAGCTAGCTAGATAAGGTCGCACTCTTGTCAGAATGGCGTATAATCTAGTAAGGCATTTCAGCATGGTTTTCCAATTAAATGTCCAAAGAGAAGCTATTATGTTTTCGGGTGAGTACTAGCTAAAAGTGTTTCATTAATGTCGCAATTATTGAACGGTGAGTTATTGCAGACTTCCATTTAAAAAAGTATACTTACAGGGGGTGTGTCGCTAACTCTACACCACAGCAGGAAAACACAGTGAGTGAACTAGTTAGCTAATATTAGTTTACTGTAACTAATAACTAAATCCATAACGAAAAACGTTGTAGGCTACTGGCTAGCTAAGTAGACAGATTTTCAAACAAATGTTCTTTGTACGAAATCATTGCTTCAAAAACCAAGTCGGGTTAGCGTTAGCTACGTTAACGTTAGTTAGATAACAGCTAACGTTAACTAACCAACAAACGCTAGCCCAGCCCAAGCAAGGCCAGCGAGCCCAGCTAACTAGCTACAGTATTTGGCTAATTTGATCAAATGCATGGCTTGGCTACATCGTCTTTAGCTGCACAACCCTAACTAGATAGCTAACTAGGTAGTTACTGGAAAGTACCTTGTTAATGCAAACCTGGAGCTAACTCGCCAACAGTTATTCATCAGTTGTCAGTATTAGCTAACTAACTGAGGGTTAGTTAGCTAGCCAGCTAACTAATACCTACATATGTCAGAACAGAGCATGATTGGTCAGAGGTATCGAACAAGAAACAAATCAAAATTGGAGCCACAAACAAAACCGTTGTAAATACACCTCTGCACCACCACATGGCTATCAGTGTAATCGAATGAAATCATGTATTGCATGGTTGGGAAAACGTTGTAATGTTTCTGTTTGACAGGAGTGAGACATAAGTCTACAGTGCAGTATGCGACACGCCCAGACCGGCCGAAACTGGCTTATAGAAAAGTGGAGGGGAAGAGCCCAGGGGTAGTGTTCTTGCCAGGGTTTGCCTCAAACATGGGTGGGAAGAAAGCAGAAGCCCTTGAGGAGTTCTGCCAGTCACTAGGCCACTCTTACCTAAGGTAAGTTAGCTATAGTATTTTCAGTGATTAAAAAAACAAAACATTAGAGCTGTCGTGTATGTATAGGTGTGTGTATGTATAGGTGTGTGTGTATATATATATATATATATATACTACCAGTCAAAAGTTTGGACACCTACTCATTCAAGGGTTTTTCTTTATTTTTACGATTTTCTACTTTGTAGAATAATAGTGAAGACATCAAAACTATGAAATAACACATATGGAATCATGTAGTAACCATAAGTGTTAAAGAAATCAAAATATATTTTATATTTGAGATTCTTCAAATAGCCACCCTTTGCCTTGATGACAGCTTTGCACACTCTTGGCATTCTCTCAGCCAGCTTTATGAGGTAGTCACCTGGAATGCATTTCAATTAACAGGTGTGTCTTCTTAAAAGTTAATTTGTGGAATTTCTTTCGTTCTTAATGCGTTTGAGCCAATCAGTTGTATTGTGACAAGGTAGGGGGGGGTATACAGATGATAGCCCTATTTGGTAAAATACCAAGTCCATATTATGGCAAGAACAGCTCAAATAAGCAAAGCGAAACAACAGTGCATCATTACTTTAAGACATGGCGGTCAGCCAATACTGAACATTTCAAGAACTTTGAACGTTTCTTCAAGCGCAGTCGCAAAAACCATCAAGCGCTATGATGAAACTGGCTCTCATGAGGACCGCCACAGGAATGGACCCAACACACCTCCAGGCTTTGTAATGGCTATTTTACCAAGAAGGAGAGTGATGGAGTGCTGCATCAGATGACCTGGCCTCCACAGTCCTCCGACCCCAACCCAATTGAGATGGATTGGGATGAGTCAGACCGCAGAGTGAAGGAAAAGCAGCCAACAAGTGCTCAGCATATGTGGGAACTCCTTCAAAACTGTTGGAAAAGCATTCCAGGTGAAGCTGGTTGAGAGAATGCCAAGAGTGTGCAAAGCTGTCATCAAGGCAAAGGGTGGCTATTTGAAGAATCTCTGTCTCAAATATAAAATATATATTTACAGTTTAGTCATTTAGCAGACGCTCTTATCCAGATCGACTTACAGTTAGTGAGTACATACGTTTTCATACATATATTTTTTTATATATATATTTTTATGTTGGTTTGTAGTTTTGATGCCTTCATTATTATTCTACAATGTAAAAATAAAAACCCTTGAATGAGTAGGTGTGTCCAAACTTTTGACCGGTACTGTACATACGTACAGTGCTATGAAAAAGTATTTGCCCCCTTTCTAATTTTCTCTACTTTTGCATATTTGTGATACTGAATGTTATCAGATCTTCAACCAAAACCTAATATTAGATAAAGGGAACATAAGTGAACAAATAACACAACAATTACATATTTATTTCATTTATTTCATAAACAAAGTTATGCAACACCCAATTCCCCTGTGTGAAAAAGTAATTGCCCCCTTACACTCAATAACTGGTTGTGCCTCCTTTAGCTGCAATGACTCCAACCAAATGCTTCCTGTAGTTGTTGATCAGTCTCTCACGTCGCTGTGGAGGAATTTTGGCCCACTCTTCCATGCAGAACTGCTTTAACTCAGTGACGTGTGGGTTTTCAAGCATGAACTGCTCGTTTCAAGTCCTGCCACAACATCTCAATTGGGATTAGGTCTGGACTTTGACTAGGCCATTCCAAAACTTCCAATTTGTTGCTTTTTAGCAATTATCATGTAGACTTGATTGTCCAAAAAGTTGACTCAAGTTTGCCAAAAAGCACCTGGATGATCATCAAGACTCTTGGAAGAACGTTCTATGGACAGATGATTCAAAAGTATAACTTTTTGGACGACATAGTTCCAGTAATGCCTGGCGAAAACCAAACTCTGCATTCCACAGTAAGAACATCATACGAAAGGTCAAGCGTGGTGATGGTTTGGGGATGCTTTGCTGCCTCAGGACCTGGACGACTTGCCTTAATAGAAGGAACCATGAATTCTGCTCTTTATCAGAGAATTCTACAGGAGAATGTCAGAACATCTGTCTGTGAGTTGAAGCTGAAGCGCAGCCGGGTCATGCAGCAAGACAATGATCCAAAACACACAATCAAGTCTACATGAAAATTGCTAAAAAGCAACAAATTGGAAGTTTTGGAATGGCCTAGTCAAAGTCCAGACCTAATCCCAATTGAGATGTTGTGGCAGGACTTGAAACGAGCAGTTCATGCTTGAAAACCCACACGTCACTGAGTTAAAGCAGTTCTGCATGGAAGAGTGGGCCAAAATTCCTCCACAGCGACGTGAGAGACTGATCAACAACTACAGGAAGCATTTGGTTGGAGTCATTGCAGCTAAAGGTGGCACAACCAGTTATTGAGTGTAAGAGGGCAATTACTTTTTCACACAGGGGAATTCGGTGTTGCATAACTTTGTTTATGAAAGAAATTAAATGTAATTGTTGTGTTATTTGTCCACTTATGTTCCCTTTATCTAATACACTACTCAAAAAAATAATGTAATGTAACTCCAAGTCAATCACACTTCTGTGAAATCAAACTGTCCACTTAGGAAGCAACTGGAATAGACAACAGGTGGAAATTATAGGCAATTAGCAAGACACCCCCAATAAAGGACTGGTTTTGCAGGTGGTGACCACAGACCACTTCTCAGTTCCTATGTGTCCTGGCTGATGTATTGGTCACTTTTGAATGCTGGCGGTGCTTTCACTCTAGTGGTAGCATGAGACGGAGTCTACAACCCACACAAGTGGCTCAGGTAGTGCAGCTCATCCAGGATGGCACATCAATGCGAGCTGTGGCAAGAAGGTTTGCTGTGTCTGTCAGCGTAGTGTCCAGAGCATGGAGGCGCTACCAGGAGACAGGCCAGTACATCAGGAGACGTGGAGGAGGCCGTAGGAGGGCAACAACCCAGCAGCAGGACTGCTACCTCCGCCTTTGTGCAAGGAGGAGCAGGAGGAGCACTGCCAGAGCCCTGCAAAATGACCTCCAGCAGGCCACAAATGTGCATGTGTCTGCTCAAACGGTCAGAAACAGACTTCATGAGGGTGGTATGAGGGCCTGACGTCCACAGGTGGGGGTTGTGCTTACAGGCCAACACCGTGCAGGACGTTTGGCATTTGCCAGAGAACACCAAGATTGGCAAATTCGCCACTGGCGCCCTGTGCTCTTCACAGATGAAAGCAGGTTCACACTGAGCACGTGACAGAGTCTGGAGACGCCGTGGAGAACGTTCTGCTGCCTGCAACATCCTCCAGCATGACCGGTTTGGCGGTGGGTCAGTCATGGTGTGGGGTGGCATTTCTTTGGGGGGGCCGCACAGCCCTCCATGTGCTCGCCAGAGGTAGCCTGACTGCCATTAGGTACCGAGATGAGATCCTCAGACCCCTTGTGAGACCATATGCTGGTGCGGTTGGCCCTGGGTTCCTCCTAATGCAAGACAATGCTAGACCTCATGGGGCTGGAGTGTGTCAGCAGTTCCTGCAAGAGGAAGGCATTGATGCTATGGACTGGCCCGCCCGTTCCCCAGACCTGAATCCAATTCAGCACATCTGGGACATCATGTCTCGCTCCATCCACCAACGCCACGTTGCACCACAGACTGTCCAGGAGTTGGCGGATGCTTTAGTCCAGGTCTGGGAGGAGATCCCTCAGGAGACCATCCGCCACCTCATCAGGAGCATTCCCAGGCGTTGTAGGGAGGTCATACAGGCACGTGGAGGCCACACTCACTACTGAGCCTCATTTTGACTTGTTTTAAGGACATTACATCAAAGTTGGATCAGCCTGTAGTGTGGTTTTCCACTTTAATTTTGAGGGTGACTCCAAATCCAGACCTCCATGGGTTGATCAATTTGATTTCCATTGATACTTTTTGTGTGATTTTGTTGTCAGCACATTCAACTATGTAAAGAAATGTATTTAATAAGATTATTTCATTCATTCAGATCTAGGATGTGTTATTTTAGTGTTCGCATAATTTTTTTGAGCAGTGTATTAGGTTTTGGTTGAAGATCTGATAACATTCAGTATCACAAATATGAAAAAGTAGAGAAAATTAGATAGGGGGCAAATACTTTTTCATAGCACTGTACATTCCAGTATGTCAGTCCTTCAATTAGTCAGGAAAACCAATCGTTGCCGATGTATGTGGTCTTTCCCAGGTTTGACTATACAGGCTGTGGGTCGTCTGAAGGTGAAATGGTAGACGGCACTGTTGGCACTTGGAAGAAGGATGTTCTATATGTATTGGACGAGCTTGTGGAGGGGCCACAAGTAAGTAGTTCCTCTCCGTCTCTATGATGAGACTCATTCTAATCAGCCAGTGTAATCCAAAGTATTGTTAGCTGAAATGGACCTGCACAGACTCATGTATAATTGAGTGATCATGCCCGAGAAGCCGGTGTTTGGAGGATATACAGTTGAAGTCGGAAGTTTACATACACCTTAGCCAAATACATTTAAACTCAGTTTTTCACTATTCCTGACATTTAATCCTAGTAAAAATGCCCTGTTCTAGGTCCGTTAGGATCACCACTTTATTTTAAGAATGTGAAATGTCAGAATAATAGTAGAGAGAATTATTTCTTTCAGCTTTTATTTCTTTCATCACATTCCCAGTGGCTCAGAAGTTTACATACACAATTAGTATTTGGTAGCATTACCTTTAAATTGTTTAACTTGGGTCAAACGTTTCAGGTAGCCTTCCACAAGCTTCCCACAATAAGGTAGGTGAATTTTGGCCCATTCCTCCTGACAGAGCTGGTGTAACTGAGTCAGGTTTGTAGGCCTCCTTGCTCGCACACGCTTTTTCAGTTCTGCCCACAAACTTTCTATAGGATTGAGGTAAGGGCTTTGTGATGGCCACTCTAATACCTTGACTTTGTTGTCCTTAAGCCATTTTGCCACAATTTTGGAAGTATGCTTGGGGTCATTGTCCATTTGGAAGACCCATTTGCGACCAAGCTTTAACTTCCTGACTGATGTCTTGAGATGTTGCTTCAATATATCCACATCATTTTCCTTCCTCATGATGCCATCTATTTTGTGAAGTGCACCAGTCCCTCCTGCAGCAAAGCACCCCCACAGCATGATGCTGCCACCCCGTGCTTCACGGTTGGGATGGTGTTCTTCGGCTTGCAAGCCTACCCCTTTTTCCTCCAAACATAACGATGGTCATTATGGCCAAACAGTTCTATTTTTGTTTCATCAGACCAGAGGACATTTCTCCAAAAAGTACGATCTTTGTTCCTATGTGCAGTTGCAAACCGTAGTCTGGCTTTTTTATGGCGGTTTTGGAGCAGTGACTTCTTCCTTGCTGAGCGGCCTTTCAGGTTATGTCGATATAGGACTCGTTTTACTGTGTATATAGATACTTTTGTACCTGTTTCCTCCAGCATCTTCACAAGGTCCTTTGCTGTTGTTCTGGGATTGATTTGCACTTTTCGCACCAAAGTACGTTCATCTCTAGGAGACAGAACGCGTCTCCTTCCTGAGCGGTATGACGGCTGCGTGGTCCCATGGTGTTTATACTTGCGTACTATTGTTTGTACAGATTAACTTGGTACCTTTAGGCGTTTGGAAATTGCTCCCGAGGATGAACCAGACTTGTGGAGGTCTACAATTATTTTTGCCTGATTTCTTTTGATTTTCCCATGATGTCAAACAAAGAGGCACTGAGTTTGAAGGCAAGCCTTGAAATATATCCTCAGGTACACCTCCAATTGACTCAAATTATGTCAATTAGCCTATCAGAAGCTTCTAAAACCATGACATCATTTCCTGGAATTTTCCAAGCTGTTTAAAGGCACAGTCAACTTAGTGTATGTAAACTTCTGACCCACTGGAATTGGGATACAGTGAAATAATCTGTCTGTAAACAATTGTTGGAAAAATGACTTGTGTCATGCACAAAGTAGATGTCCTAACCGACTTGCCAAAACTATAGTTTGTTAACAAGAAATGTGTGGAGTGGTTGAAAAACAAGTTTTAATGACTCCAACCTAAGTGTATGTAAACTTCTGACTTCAACTGTATTGGCACAGGTGTTGTTAGGCCCGAGACGAAGTCACATTTATATAACGGGTTACCAACATATTCACATAATGATGGACATATTTTCATTAAAAACGTTATTTTGATGAATTTATTCATACTATTTCGTCCTTCCGCAAGATATAGTCCTGACACAAATCTAGGGTTGCTAGAGACGCGACCCAGTCATTCAGTATTTTTGTTCTGTATCTATGGACGCGACCCAGACGTTTGTTCTAAATGTTCCATTGCCATGCTGGCTGGCAACGTTCTTATCTCTTGCTTGCTAGCTAGCCAAGTACGGCTAAGTTAGTCACGTCAAAAAGTGCAGCCAGAATAACAGCAAAGTAGCTGCATTTGCATTTATTTAAGCTGTTTTCTAATAACATTTATTTGGATACATCCATAACAATGAGCTAATGAGGCGCTCTTTCGCTTGGTATAGAGAATGTGCTCACTGGTCAGGACACTATTGTTCAGAGGAGCTAGCCAACAACACAGCTACAGGAACACAATCACTTCAAACTGAAGCTGGAAAGACTGCAAATTAGCTTCGTTTCGTTTTACCTTTTTTCAATTTACTTTTTTTTGTATAATATATCCATAAAAATGATGCCAGCTGATTCATGATTTTGACTGGCTGAGAAACGCTGCCCGTCTCGTCCCGACTCCCGACACGTTCATTACTATGGGACAGCAGGAGATCGAATTTGAATATTGAAGCAATGTTGCAAATGTCGGAGAGACGGCAAGGTTTATACAAATCTCCGCTGTTGAAAACGAAATGTTTGTCTAAAAGAAATTAGATCATGTCTAGATGCTTTTTATAGTGGAGATCAAGTTTATAAGTTGCCTGGCTGGGCTGATGAGACAGTGGATTGCGCAGTCAGATGGAACAGAGTAAATAGGCATTTTAACGTCAAAGATTCAGCAGGTGGCAACTTGTGGATAGACACCGGCTGGAATGTGGTTTTAACCAATCAGCATTCAGGATTAGACCCACCCGTTGTATAATAGTGTATAACCATTCGGGATGGTAGTTGATGTAAAACTGTTACTGATTTCAGTGTGAATTGACCACTGAGTTAATAATAATCCTCTGGGGGATATTAGGGTTAAAATACCTTGACTTAAAATACCTCTGGCATGCGTAATTGACACGAGATATCAGTGCTGTTATTATAAGATCATTTCTGATCTTGCTAATTGTTCTGGTGTTGCAGATTCTGGTTGGCTCCAGTATGGGCGGCTGGCTGATGTGCCTGGCAGCCATAGCTCGTCCAGAAAGAACTGCGGCCATGGTTGGCATCTCTACAGCAGCGGACCACTTTGTAACTGTCTACAATACGCTTCCTATTGAGGTGAGTCAGCGTTCAGAATAAACCATCTTGAGTGTTCAATAACCTTAACAGGTTCTGTACAGAACAATGCACTTTTCCCCTAATGACAGACGCTTGATTAAATGAGTCATCAATACACTGAAGGTGGTTCAAAGGAAAGGGACATGCAGTTAATCTTGAAATTGCACGAACAAAATTTGGATGGAAGTACAGTTGAAATATATTTCCTAAGCACATTTTTTAAACGGCTGCCATCTTAGATAATGTCTTCACCCCAAACATAAAATGATATATAATTTTGTCTAAATACTGCCTGCTGTCATTGTAGGCGAGGAAGGAGATTGAAGAGAAGGGGCAGTGGGTGGTTCCTACCAAACACAACGCGGAGGGCTCCATCACGTTCACCACAGAGTTCCTGAAGGAGGCAGAGCAGCACCGTGTTCTGCAGAGCCCCATTCCAGTGACCTGCCCTGTGAGGCTCATCCATGGGATGAAGGACCAGGATGTGCCCTGGCACATCTCCATGCAGGTAGCTGAGCGTGTGCTCAGCAATGACGTTGACGTCATCTTGCGCAAGCATGGCCAGCACCGCATGACAGAAAAGGAGGACATCAAGCTCATAGTCTACACCATCGATGATCTCATAGACAAGCTGACCACATTGGTTTGAGTGGCCAAATCAGGGCAATGCTGTGGGTGATGCCTACCACCCAGACCCCAACTTTTCCGCACTCAGGCTGTTCGGTTCCCGATGCGTTACAAAATCGAGGTGCTATTGAACTAAACACACACTGTGAAGAAAAGGAACATTTTCTCCCGGCTCTCTCCATGCCTTTTTATTTGGATTTGTATTTACCGGTGCCATGACACTTTGTTCCCACAACTACCAAACTTCTTGGGCCTTCTGTGAACAGTTTTGATTTATTCCCACAATGTGGTCTGACGGTGATTCCGTTAAACCGTCAATGAGTAGGGCTCACTCCTATTACAGTAGCCCATCAGGTACAGATGCATTACGTCCATTTGCAACCCAAAATTGATTTTATCCACTGTCAATTTTATTCAAACAAAAACAAGTGTAATGTGTAGATGTGCCTTTTATATTTACGCATGTGCACTTAAAGACCAGTAGGAGGCAGCAAATATCAGTACAGTATTTTAGGCACTTTGTATTATTATGGACCCCACAGCAGCTACTCTTCCTGGGGTCCAGCAAAATTAAGGCAGTTATACAATGTCAGTTATACTATGGCAGTTATACTATGTAACATGTCTCCAGCAGAATAAATAGGTGGGGGGTTGTCTGTGGAACGATCAGTAGAAAAATGACTTTATTCAACTGTAATGTTTGATTCTTATTCAACTGTAATGTTTGATTCTAATGCTGATGTCCATGCGTTGCCCATTTCTTATGCTGTCTGTTTTTGCTGTTTGGTTCCATTGCTGACAGAACATACAGTATCAGTCAAAGGTTTTTTACTATTTTCTACATTGTAGAATAATAGTGAAGACATCAAAACTATGAAATAACACATGGAATGATGTAGTAACCAAAAAAGTGTTCAACAAATCAAAATATATTTGAGATTCTTCAAATAGCCACCCTTTGCCTTGATGACAGCTTTGCACATTCTTGGCATTCTCTCAACCAGCTTCATGGCATAGTCACCTGAAATGCATTTCAATTAACAGGTGTGCCTTCTTAAAAGTTAATTTGTGGAATGTCTTTCCATAATGCGTTTGAACCAATCAGTTGTGTTGTGACAAGGAAGAGGGGGTATACAGAAGAGAGCCCTATTTGGTAAAAGACCAAGTCCATATTATGTAAAGAACAGCTCAAATAAGCAAAGAGAAACGACAGTCCATCATCACTTTAAGACATGAAGGTCAGTCAATACGGAACATTTCATTAACTTTTAAAGTTTCTTCAAGTGCAGTCGCTAAAACCATCAAGCGCTATGATGAAACTGGATCTCATGAGGACCGCCACAGGAATGGAAGACCCACAGTTACCTCTGCTGCAGAGGATAAGTTCATTAGAGTTAACTGCACCTCAGATTGCAGCCCAAATAAATGCTTCACAGAGTTCAAGTAACAGACACATCTCAACATCAACTGTTCAGAGGAGACTGCGTGAATCAGGCCTTCATGGTTGAATTGCTGCAAAGAAACCACTACTAAAGGACACCAATAAGAAGAAGAGATTTCCTTGGGCCAAGAAACACTTTGGACATTAGACCGTTGGAAATCTGTCCTTTGGTCTGAGTCAAAATGTGAGATTTTTGGTTCCAACCGCCGTGTCTTTGTGAGACACAGAGTAGGTGAATGGGTTATCTCTGCATGTGTGGTTCCCACCTTGAAGCATGGAGGAGGTGGTGTGGGGGTGCTATGCTGGTGACACTGTCAGTGATTTATTTAGAATTCGAGGCACACTTAACCAGCATGGCGACCACAGCATTCTGCAGTGACACGCCATTCCATCTGGTTTGGGCTTAGTGGGACTATGATTTGTTTTTCCAACAGGACAACGACCCAACACACCTCCAGGCTGTGTAAGGGCTATTTGACCAAGAAGGAGAGTGATGGAGTGCTGTATAAGATGACCTGGCCTCCACAATCACCCGACCTCAACCCAATTGGGATGAGTTGGACCGCAGAGTGAAGGAAAAGCAGCCAACGTGCTCAGCATATGTGGGAACTCCGTCAAGACTGTTGGAAAAGCATTCCTCATGAAGCTGGTTGAGAGAATGCCAAGAGTGTGCAAATCTGTCATCAAGGAAAGGGGTGGCTATATTTTGATTTGTTTAACACATTGTTGGTTACTACATGATTCCATATGTTATTTCATAGTTTTGAAGTCTTCACTATTATTCTACAATGTAGAAAATAGTAAAAATAAAGAAAAACCCTTGAATGAGTAGGTGTCCAAACTTTTGACTGGTACTGTATCAATTTTAGTATTTATTTGTCCATGCCATTTTAATTTTGCACACAAGGTCAGAACAGAATATTGACTGCATGACAACTCATGTAGAACTGAGCATTGTGTGTTTTATATTAAAATGTATTGTAATGTTGTTGTCTTAGTGTAAAATATGATATATTATTGTGAGTGATTTTAGTGCAATCCAGAATGAGAACTTTTAATGTAGATTCAACTGTCACTCTGGGTGACTTTTCAATGTTGGCCCAGTTCATGTTGGTTTTGTTGCTAGTATGTCCCATTCCAAAATGACACAGATTTCAAATAATGATTGAACAGTAGAATGAGATGGCCTGGTTTGAGTGACGGTCCTAAGAAGCACAAGTTATTAGGTGAAAAACATTGCAGTGTAGGCAACCCATGTTTCAATTTTCCTGTTTTAGTATAGTATAGTCAACATTCCGATTTTTACTGGTTAGAAAGCCATGTGTGGCTACTATGTCATACAGTGATGATAAGCTGTCATTAGTGTAATATGATCCCAGATATAGTGGTTAGGACTCTGTCGTTGGTTTCCAACATACACTACATGTCCGAAAGTATGTGGACACCTGCTCGTCGAACATCTCATTCCAAAATCATGGGCATTAATGTGGAGTTGGTTCCCTCCTTTGCTGGTTTAACAGCCTCCACTCTTCTGGGAAGGCTTTCCACTAATGTTGAAACATTGCTGCATGGAATGTCAGCCACAAGCATTAGTGAGGTCGGGCACTGATATTGGGCATTTAGGCCTGGCTCGCAGTTGGCGTTCTAATTCATCCCAAAGGTGTTCGATGGGGTTAAGGTCAGGGCTCTGTGCAGGCCAGTCAAGTTCTTCCACACCGATTTCGACAAACCATTTCTGTATGGACCTCACTTTGTGCACGGGGGCATTGTTATGCTGAAACAGGAAAGGGCCTTCCACAAAGTTGGAAGCACAGAATCGTCTAGAATGTCTTTGTATGCTGTAGCGTTAAGATTTCCCTTCACTGGAACTAAGGGGCCTAGCCCGACCTATGAAAGACGGCCCCAGACCATTATTCCTCCACCAAACTGTACAGTTGGCAATGTGCATTAGGGCAGGTAGCGTTCTCCTGGCATCTGCCAAACCCAGGTTCGTCAGCCGGACTGCCAGATAGTGAAGCGTGATTAATCACTCCAGAGAACGCGTTTCCACTGCTCCAGTCCAATGGCGGCGAGCTTTACACCACTCCAGCCGACGCTTGGCATTGCACATGGTGATCTTAGGCTTGTGTGCGGCTGCTCGGCCATGGAAACCCATTTCATGATGCTGCCGACGAACAGTTATTTTGCTTCCAAGGCAGTTTGGAACTCGGTAGTGAGTGAGGACAGACGATTTTTAGCCGCTACACGCTTCAGCACTCGGCGGTCCCGTTCTGTAAACTTGTGTGGCCTACCAATTCGCAGCTGAGCTGTTGTTGCTCCTAGACATTTCCACTTCACAATAACAGCACTTGCAGTTGACCGGGGAAGGTCTAGCAGGGCAGAATTTTGACGAACTGACTTGTTGGAAAGCTGGCATCCTATGACGGTGCCACGTTGAAAGTCACTGAGCTCTTCAGTAAGGCCATTCTACTGCCAATGTTTGTCTGTGGAGATTGCATAGCTGTGTGCTCGATTTTTATACACATGTCCGCAACAGATGTGGCTGAAATAGCCGAATCCACAAATTTGAAGGGGTGTCCACATACGTGTATGTATATGTGTGTGTATATACAGTGGGGAGAACAAGTATTTGATACACTGCCAATTTTGCAGGTTTTCCTACTTACAAAGCATGTAGAGGTCTGTAATTTTTATCATAGGTACACTTCAACTGTGAGAGACGGAATCTATAACAAAAATCCAGAAAATCACATTGTATGATTTTTAAGTAATTAATTTTCATTTTATTGCATGACCATAAGTATTTGATACATCAGAAAAGCAGAACTTAATATTTGGTATAGAAACCTTTGTTTGCAATTACAGAGATCATACGTTTCCTGTAGGTCTTGACCAGGTTTGCACACACTGCAGCGGGGATTTTGGCCCACTCCTCCATACAGACCTTCTCCAGATCATTCAGGTTTCGGGGCTGTCGCTGGGCAACACGGTCTTTCAGCTCCCTCCAAAGATTTTCTATTGGGTTCAGGTCTGGAGACTTGCTAGACCACTCCAGGACCTTGAGATGCTTCTTACGGAGCCACTCCTTAGTTGCCCTGGCTGTGTGTTTCGGGTCGTTGTCATGCTGGAAGACCAAGCCACGACCCATCTTCAATGATCTTACTGAGGGAAGGAGGTTGTTGGCCAAGATCTCGCGATACATGGCCCCATCCATCCTCCCCTCAATACGGTGCAGTCGTCCTGTCCCCTTTGCAGAAAAGCATCCCCAAAGAATGATGTTTCCACCTCCATGCTTCACGGTTGGGATGGTGTTCTTGGGGTTGTACTCATCCTTCTTCTTCCTCCAAACACGGCGAGTGGAGTTTAGACCAAAAAGCTCTATTTTTGTCTCATCAGACCACATGACCTTCTCCCATTCCTCCTCTGGATCATCCAGATGGTCTTTGGCAAACTTCAGACGGGCCTGGACATGCGCTGGCTTGAGCAGGGGGACCTTGCGTGCGCTGCAGGATTTTAATCCATGACGGCGTAGTGTGTTACTAATGGTTTTCTTTGAGGCTGTGGTCCCAGCTCTCTTCAGG